AAAGAATCAACTATTGCTAACAACTCTCTACGAGTTAACACAATAATTTCTTTCGGTTTTATTTAACACTTTACTAAAATAAGCAATTACTCTCTCTTCCCTTCTTGAATCTAGAATAAAACAACACCAACGCCATGATTCGAAGCGTCAATATCCAAAATGAATTTTCCTCGATTGGAAAAGACAAGACAGGGGAAAAAATCAAACATCACTTAAGCTTTTCAAATGCCTCCTGATAATGTTCATCCCAAAACTAACCTACACTTTGTGTTTCTCTGTCAAGGAAAACAGAGGTTTTGCAATTTACGAAAATCCTCTAACAAATTTCCTATAATAGCAGCAAAACCCCAAAAAGTTACGGACTTGCTTCTTATTCCGCGGAACAGGTCATTCCTGCACGGAAGTAATCTTTTCAGAGTCAGTTGAGATTCCTTCTTCCGAGACTTCATGTTCTAAATATTTAACTTTCCTTCCAAACAGGGAACATTTCTTTGGATTTATTTTTAAATTTGCTACTCTGAAACGAAGAAAAACTTCACGTAGATTAGTTAACATCTCTTCGAAGGCTTTACTGAAAATCACATCATCTAAATAAACTAAATTAACTAAATAAACATAACTAAATAAACAGATTTTATTTAATATCTGATGAAGAACTCTTTCCATTAACTTCCATTAACTTTCCATTAACTTCTCAAAAATCGCCGGGGCATTACATAATGGCATCATAGTAAATTGCCATAAACCGTTTCTTATTGAGAATACTTTTTCTTTATCTTCTATCTGGACGAAGCTTCATCTGCCACTTTTAAAATCCAACGTGGAAAATTAAAAATTTCCTGACAATCGATCAAGAAGATCATCAATTCTTGGCAATGGGTAATAATCCTTTTCAGTAATTGAGCTTTCTGTCCACATAGGATCTCAACGTCCCGTCCTTTTTCTTCCATAACCGCAGATGAAACCCAAGGACTATGGGATTCTTCAATCATTCCTTGCTGTTTCATCTCTTTAAGAATTTTCTCCATCTCATCTCGCATCTGTAAGGGAATGCGTCTAGGAGTCTATTTAATAGGATTTGATTTTCCTACAAAAATTGAGTGCTCTATTACCGAGCAATTACCCGCTACAATATTTTCCGAAAAGATATCCTGAAATTCTTCGAAAAATTTAGAAAAACTTTTCTTTTGTAAATCATTTAATCCTACCGAATTCCTATTAAAGAAATCTAATAAAAATTCAGGAACCTTCTTTTCTGGGAGACAAGAACAAAATAGGTTCCCCTCTTTTCCAGAATCGTCATTGCTAAAGAGCAAATTGAAAATCCTATTCTGCCCGACTTTAACAAGAAAATCTGCTCTCAAGATGCATTCATTTCATCCACAATTTCCGTCACATACATCGAAAATTCTAAGGAAAACTTCCTTATCTCGATTTTAACATTTGTTTTAAAATCAATGAGAACTTCTTGCCCAGTTGGATATCTCAATTTTCTATTCCCTACCCAAAATTGTTGCCTTTTCGGCCCATCCTTTTATTTAGAATCGAAACATCTGAGCCCGTGTCAATTTTGAAAATACAATTTTGATTATCTAACGTTCCTTGAAAACAAAAATTCCCTGATTTCCCACTTAAATTCCCGAAAGAAAAATTTCTTCCCCTTGCGATATTACATTTCCGCGCTAAGTTCTGCGTTACACCGCTGCAAAGCTCAACGAGCCAGAGTTTCCCTTCCTTGAATTAACTAATGAAGAGCACTCCGATCGGAAGTAGCTTAGCTCCACATTGCCAGCATTCATTGGCTTCTCCTCTAGTACCGGAAGTTTCTTTTTGTTTTCTTTTTAAGTTATTGAATTTCCCGCGATTTTGTTTATAATCACGCGCGTTAATTTCTCCTTTGTTTAAAAAGCTCTTCGTTCGCGTCTGACCTCAAAATTAATTTGCCTCTTTCGGTTCCTCTCCTGAAATTTAGGAAAACTATTTTCTTTAATAATTTTTATCACCATGTCTCTTTCCACGCCAACCCTTAAAGATATGCTCTTCTATTTGAAGGGTCTGTTTAATAAAACCGTCTGCCAACGCGAGAATAAATTGCGAGCATGCAATTTTATCCTGTACACCAGGTGAGCACTTCGAATAGGCCAAACGAGACAAACGCTCCAAATCCGAGCCAAGCGCAGCCAAATCTTCCCCGAATTTCTGCTTTCGATTTATAAACTGCATGTAATAATTTTATGTTGAAAGTTTTTCCTCAAAACGTAACTCTAATCTTGAAACTAATTCGCTATATTGTGAATTTTCCAATTCCGTTCCCCCCTCTAAAACTAAACGCGCCTTCTCTCTTAAACAGGAAGTCAATACGACCACTTTCTCCGAATTTCCCCATCTATTTGCCCGAGCAATCAATTCAAATTCAGATAAAAATTCTCGCAAAGGGACACTTCCATCATATATGTCGGGCTTTAATTTTAAACCAAGATTTAAAATTGGATTTGACTGGCCTGGTATAGATAGTTCGTGCTTTTCGGACTGTCGCACCGATCTTCCCTGCTCTTCCGCTCCGCGTCGCCGCTCCGCACACTCCTCTTTAAGAAAGCGAAGTTCCTTCATAGTCATGCGAAGAACTATCTCCAGGCTCGAAGTCGGTTCCGATTCCTCCGCGCGCTCCGACGCTCCTTCTTGTTCTACTTCCGTCGTTAAATCCTTTCCCGTTAATCCCATTTTGATACTCCGCCATGTTTGCCGATCCCGGATGAGGCTCCAAAAATGTCGCACTCGCAGCGAGTTCACTCGCGCCAGAAAAGGAAGAGACAATTGAGGAAAGAAACACAAACTTTATTATGCACTGAAGCACGGGAGCAATAATAAGAGCTTTCACAATTAAATAAGAATATACCGCGACACTGCTCAAACTCACGCGCCGCGCCGTCTACACTTTCATCACAATAATAATACTTAACAACGCTTGACGACCGCGTCGGCAAGGAACGATCTTCAAGTTGGAAATCGATATGAGAGTGTCGAGCGGAACACCATTCGGTAGTAGCAATACATATTTAATTAATACGCATGATGTCAATAATATCTGCGTGTAAACCTTTGTTATTACATGCTGTTGTAATCATTCCAGTGATACACAAAAGAAATGTAATATCGACATATAATTCATTACAAGTAGCTACTATTTAGATAGTAATATCGAAAGTAAGCATTACACATGCCTTACAGTGGCCTGTAATAACCGTTTGTAATAAGCACACAGCTGGCAGTTTCTTTTTCGTAAGAGATATGGAAAATTTGTAATCAGATTTCAGATTTCTATTTACTTATCGTATCTGAGCCGATGTTAATTGGCTTGAATTTCGAATTTTGCATTTCTTGCAGGGCCATTGCATTAAAGGAAAGTGCAGCAATTCGCGTGAATAATTCAGATACTCCGTTACCCGTTTTCGATGAAACTGCCCAATATTCCGCCCGCATTCTCGTCGCTGTCTCAATTGCTTGTTTCTCGATTATTTCATATACTGGATGAGACTAACATTTAAAAAAGAAAAAATCATTGATGGTGATCATGAAAGATAATATTAAGGTATTGCCTTAATACTTACTAATAAATCCTTTTTTGTGCCAACCAGGAAAATATGATAAAAGCTCATGTTGCTACGACTTGCTTCATTCAACCATTGCTGACAGTGCGCCAATGATATTAAGTTTCCCAAGTCAAACACGACTATAATTACTAAAATGGAATACGCGTGAAAAAAATATAAATAAAGATTAAAATGGTCTCGCTTTCTCGCGCGGATAACGGTCGGTTACCAGGTAGAGAAGTGAGGAGGTTGGAGACAGAATTAGCGTGTTGTAATTATAATTACTACTGTGATCAAATATAAATGAGATTTTTGTTATAGAGTGAAAAATCTTTATTTATTCTTCAAAATCAAATTCGTCACCTTCAAAATAATCCCCTCCCGATGCAATACACTTATGCCAATGCTTTTTCCAATCCTCGAAACACTCTGAAAACTCTTCTTCCAGAATGGCCTTCAATACCTTCTTCGTTTCGGTTTGTATCTCCTCAATCGATTCAAAACGGTGTCCCCAGAGCGGTCTTTTGAGTTTACTGAATAGCCAGAAGTCACACGGTACTAAATCAGGCGAATACGGTGGTTGTAGAACGATATGGGTCGAGTTTTTGGCGAAATGGTCACGAAGAACCAGTGCAGTGTGAGATGGCGCATTATCGTGATGCAAAAACCATGAGTTGTCTGCCCATAAATTTGGCCTCTTGAGGCGAATAGCTTCACGCAAACGACGCATAACACTCAAATAATATTCCTTGTTGACAGTTTGGCCCGGCGGAAGGAATTCATAATGCACACCACGATAATCGAAGAAAACTGTTAACAAAACCTTGATTTTTGAGCGACTTTGGCGCGATCTTTTTGGTCTTGCCTCACCTTTTGCACGATATTCGCTCGATTGGTCAGTTGTTTCTGGGTCGTACGCATAGATCCAAGTCTCATCTCCAGTTACCATGCATTTCATCTTGTCCTGATAGTCAGAAATTGTTTCACATACTTCAACGCGACGCTGTTTTTCCAAAAAATTGAGTGTTTTCGGAACTAAACGAGATTTGACTCTTCTCAAGCACAAATGGTCTTTCAAAATGGTCTGGACTGATCCAAATGAAATGTTTACAGTATCGGCAAGTTCTCTAATTGTCAATCGACGATGTTGGAGCACCAAATCCTTGATTTGCTTCACGTGTTGTTCATCAGTTGATATTTTTGGTCGTCTTTGATGTGGTTCGTTTTCTACGCTTTCTCAACCATCTTTCAACATTTTATATCAGTCAAATACTCTTGGTCTTGATAGAGCCTGGTCAAAAGCCTTCTGCAATATTCTTAATATTTCAGTAGCAGAAATTTCATTCCGCAAACAAAATAAAATACAATTTCTTTGCCCAACAGAATCACACATCGTAAAAATCGAAAAAAATACTTTTGGATATTCACAAAAACGAGCGTTCAGTATTAAACAAATGAAAAGAATGACATGAAATTTCACACAGATGTCAAAGATAGTACTATCAACTTAATCAAAAAAATATTTGTCAGAATCGATGAACCCGCGCAGTTAAATTTAAATTAAAAGTTAAAAGTTTAAATTTAAAAATCTCGTTTATATTTGATCACAGTAGTAAATCATAGGCATGACTATGATATAATAGTAATTTATTATAAAACAAAGAAAGAAATAATAAGTAGTGCTGAATGGAAATTGCACAAAAAATGCGAAATGATCCGAGCTCGATCTCAGTATTTTTCGATCGGTCGGATTGGTCGATCTCGGGGTAGTATCTTTCTCCAGGAGCGGGGAAAATAAATCGGTTTAATTGGTTTTTTGGACAGATAAGGGATCGGAGCGGGAATGTGTAAGAATAAGAAACGGAGTTCGATAGTGAGGTAACGGCGCGGTGCGGGGATAGTACGGTCGCTTCTAGACGTAGTCATGGCGCAGGGCGCTCGCTCGTGTTCGTGACGCGGCGTCGGTGCGGCACGGGGAATATTATCGCTCGGTGGTGCGGTGCAGAACGCATTAGCGCTCGGTGGCGCGGTGCGTGGTGCGGCGCGGGAAGGATACCACGAAAACAATCGGGGATTCGTGGTATTCCCACACTATAACTCTGACGCTTTACCAAATGTTTAATGGAGTTCGCCAAATGTTTAAAGATTAAAAATAGGCATAAACGCCTTTCTGCGATCACTGCCACACTCCGCCTGATGGTCGGCGGTCTCCGGATGGTTGGTCGGGAGAATATCAGAGAGGGAACGGAGCAGAGGGATGCGGGTATAAATGTAAGGGGATAATGATGCGGGGATAAATGGAAAGTAGATAAAAACAGATAAAGCAAATAAAAATAGTAAAGACAGGAAACTATTCACCATTAGCGTCGCGATAGTAAGATGCTGCTATACATTTGAATCTTTCTTGCCCTGCGGTATCCCATCTGCAAATATCGTTTCAAATTACTATACATACCTTTCATCCTCATAAACATTTTGGATGTTTTATTAGCTTTATTACATTTGCAAATGAAAAGGTACATCGAGGATGTCATATCTTTCCACCTCAAAGTCCACACCGATGGTGGCCTTGTAATTATTGTCAAAAAGCCTATGACAAAAACTGCGCAAAATAACGAAATAATAATTCATCTTATCATCCCAACGTTACGAATAAAGGCAATTTTACTTTGCAAAAACAATCATTTTTCACAGTTTAATCTAAACATTTGTCTTATCATTACCGGTTTATCAATGATGTTTTGCCAACGGCGATGTCTCCAATGACGATCACCTTAGAGATTCGAAGAGTCAAATTTTTGGTCTCGCAAGTGCATTTAATCAAGTCATCGAAATCATTTTCGCTGTACGGCGTGATCTCGGACGAGAACGGTGGCGGCCAATTGGTTATCTGCAGTGTTGTAAAAGAAGACATTTTTTAAAATATAGATATAGTAATAGTTATAAAATATAAAAATAAAATAAATAGTAATATAGATATAGAATAGTAATATAAATATAAATAATAATAATATAGATATAATTATAATTATTTGAAGAAAAAATATAACTAGGTATAAATACAGATATAAAACTTTTTTATGAATAACTAGATATAAATTCATTTATTTTAAAAATATCTAGATATGCAGATACTATGCAATTAATAAATCTAGATATGCAGATACTATGCAATTAATAATGTATATTATAATAATATATAGTAGTATATAGTAATATATAGTAATATATAGTAGTATATAGTATTCTTTCTAAAAAGGAGATGTTAAATCGATACTCGCATTTCTCGAAGTTTATTGTTGGCTCTTTTCCGCGATTGATTCTCTCGCTGCGCTAACTTGAATAGCTGTCATTGTATTGATCTCACAAAGGACATTTTGACAATTGTGTATCAAGAAGTTGAAAATATTATAGTATAACAATAGTATAATAGTATTATATTGTTGTAGCCCGGATTAGGTTATAAGATTGTAATTAGGAAAAGTCGGGTTCGCCGAGCCTTAGGAGTTAGAACTCTGAGCAGAATCGTAGGTGGGAAGTTCTTTTGGTCAAATATTACTCACTTTTGTTAAATAGCTGATTTATTGGTACGACTTCTTAACAATGTTTCGTGTGAATCTCGCTATTACTGATAACGACTGGCCGTGACGAAGTACAACTGCCCTGTTATGTATTGCGACTGCCCCCCTCTCGGTGATTTAGCGACCGTTTTTATAGTATTCTAGTAGTGTCGTCTTATAATTCTAAATCAGATCATATATGATCAAAACGGCGCACTCTCGCAAATTCCTCGTTCGCGCTCTGTTTTGGAATTTGCGGACTTGCTTTTGCATGCTTGTATTTCCGGCCGGCGTTTCCGTAGCATTGGCTATTCGATAAGATATAATATACAAAAATAATATAAGGAGTAATTCGGGCTACAACACCTCTCCCTCGAAGAAAGAACGAAAGAAGCGGAACGAAAGAAAAACGAAGTTTTTTCGCATTATAAAATTCTTCAACTCGATACATTTTTAAAATCGTGAACTTTCATTTCTTCTGCGCAGTTCACTATTTTTATTTACATTTTTTGCTTTCTTTTTTTCTATAATTACACTTATTATTCCTATTATAATTATAATTATTAATATTCCGTTGAAACTAACGGGGTAGGTAAAAAATGTACGTATAAAATATACGTTTTGGAATATGTTCGGCTTCTCATCTAGTTGCTTATTTAATTCATCTATTTTTGTGCTTAATTTTGTTAATTCTAACGGGTCTTTTATTATTGGTCATAGTTTTATTTTTTCTGTGAGCTGTTTTGCATCTTTGATGTCTTTTGATATTAATTTGTATTCCGGTAAGTGTGCTCGTACATAACGGGTCGCTATCTGTCGTCGCGTGACTATGATTATTTCTGGCGTCATTAGTTTACAATTGCCGTTTAATTTTACTTTACCTATATCATTTATCTCTAGTTTTCTTACTTCCGACTTATCACATTGAATTTCTATTTTTTGGTTTACTTGTGCGGAATATAGTCACACTTGTGGTTCCGTTAGCGTTAGCCATAATGAGGTCGGAAATTATATGTCCTTGTTCGCTGTTTTTTCTGGAGCTGTTCAGGCGCGTTTATATAAATTTGCACTTCGCATGACACGTCCGTACCTATGTGATAGACGGGAAAATTTTGTTTGCACATGTAAATTTGATCGTTTTGTACGCACGTGTTTAGTTCACGCTCTTCTAATAATATATAATGATGGTTCTTTATCTATTGCTATTAAGGCGTGATTTATCCGTATAATGAAAAGATGTTCGCGCATTTGCGTATCGGGAACGGTATCGGTTTTATTAATTTGA